AATTAAGGCATAGACTTTATTGGCAGCTGTGAATTATATAAATTCCTTTTTAACAATAGTTCTTAGATAATAGAAACACATCTGTGTAACCTGTCTAATGTGATTCGGTAGTTAGACCAGAGTCAAAGATAACACCCAGATGTCTCACTTCACAGTTTAAATTTAAACAAAAAAAATGTTTTATTACATTAACAGATAAAGCCCACTGACCTATATAGCTCTTTTTCAGAAGCGACCTGGTCACAAATAATAGCTTAACGAAGTGGTCTATGTGGAAATTTATAGAAGCATGTTGACTTTAAATGTGGAGGGAAATACTGGAGGACCTTGAGAAAAATCCGTGGCACCAAGACATGTAAACTCATTCATAATAAAGGTTTTTTTGGGTTAGATCGCGTTTTTTATAAATGTGTCGTAATGCTCCACCACCCGACACGGCCAATCAGCAAAAAAGTGTCACGTTGACAAAAGACAAATAATTCACTACTTTAGCCCAACGGTGTGTTGAGTGAATCCACAACATTTACAGTTTGAGTCGTACGACGTTTCGCTGGTAATTACATCCAGCATCATCATCGGGCAGTTCGCCAGAATGGTGAAGCCCTCTCCACTTGCTCCCGGTCTTAAATAGAGCAGCAGCAGGGTGACGTCATCATTTAACTCATTTCAGGTGCTCATCAAATACAGGCTTCAAGGTCGGGACTGAACCCACGACCTCCTGCATACCAGGTGAATTCGTGGTAATTTAGTTGAAGGTGGAGGGGTCACGAGCCCCTCGTACCCATCCAGAGCCCGCGTATGTCGCTGTGGTGGCTACGAGCGCGATGAGGGGAACAGCCATTTGTAAGTCGGCCTTCCCTCCATGGCATTGCTCACAGTCACCACAGCGTTACCGACCGGCACCACTCATGAGATAAGGAGATTTGTGGAACGAGTGGAGAGTGGAAGTGTATTGGTTTGTGCAATGCGCTACAAACCCGTCGACCCGAGTTTGATTCCTGTTCATGCCCAACGCTAGTGACGATTATCTGCACCAATCCTGGGTCTCCCCTACGCCGACTCAGCCTCAAATGAGTATCTGGTATGGTGTGTTGACATCGCTACTCGGTAGGCAAAGTCGGCCGGGCGTGGTGCTTACTGGTACTCATTTGAGACTGAGTCGATCTAGGGGAGGCTAGCACACACAGCAACACACGCAGATACCCGGCTGCATACACAGACTCAGCTACACACGCACACAACTATACACACAGAGTTGCACATGATGACCCTGGGCTCGAGAGCATTGTCAACAGCTGTGGCCGTACAAACACGAATACCGGGAAGTTTCTGAAGTTGCTGACGCTAAACCCAGTTGGGTGAGCACTGCACGGAGGGGTTGGTGAGGGTCAGTGGATGGGCAATATGGAGATTTATAAAAGCCAAATACTGGAAGCACATGTTTGTAAATGTGGAGGGAGAAAAATCCACGCGACCATGGGGAGAACACGCAAACTCCAAATAGGGTCAGGGGTGTCAGGGTCAGGAGAGGTAGTTAACGTCTGAAACAAAAAAAAGCTTTTGTTTTATTGTATTTCTACATAAGTAACGTCTGAAAGACCCAAATAATATGTTAACATCTCGCCACCACAAGCTTTTAACTGTTAAACTACAGCATCACTATAACTCTCAACGCCTATGAACGAAAGCCAAGCAGATCTGAGCTTCTACAGTGCCTGGATGGGTGCTCACCATGCACAAACACGTTGTCATTGGGTTGCGGGCCACGTTGTGTTTACATTCAGTTGTACTGTGCGCCTATGCTGCCACCTTTACCAATCTACATTGACCAGCTGGGGTGAAGTATGATGCTGCTGCTGCTGATGATGCTGATGATGATACTGCTGCTGCTGATGATGATGCTGCTGATGATGCTGCTGATGATGATACTGCTGGTGATGATGATGCTGATGATGCTGCTGATGATGTTGCTGCTGATGATGCTGCTGATGCTGATGATACTGCTGATGATGATGCTGTTGATGATGTTGCTGATGATGATGCTGCTGATGATGCTGCTGATGATGATGCTGCTGCTGATGATGCTACTGCTGATTATGATACTGCTGGTGATGATGCTGTTGATGATGTTGCTGATGATGATGTTGCTGATGATGATGCTGCTGCTGATGATGCTGCTGATGCTGCTGATGATGATACTGCTGTTGATGCTGCTGTTGATGATGATGCTGCTGATGATGATGCTGCTGTTGATGCTGCTGCTGCTGATGATACTGTTGATGATGCTGCTGATGATGCTGCTGTTGATGATGCTGCTGATGATGATGCTGCTGCTGATGATGATGCTGCTGTTGATGCTGCTGCTGCTGATGATACTGTTGATGATGCTGCTGATGATGCTGCTGCTGATGATGCTGCTGTTGATGCTGCTGTTGATGCTGCTGCTGCTGATGCTGGTGATGATGATACTGTTGATGATGCTGCTGATGATGATGCTGATGATACTGCTGTTGATGATGCTGATGATGATACTGCTGCTGCTGATGATGCTGCTGATGATACTGCTGGTGATGATGCTGCTGATAATGATGCTGCTGATGATGATGCTGTTGATGATGCTGCTGCTGCTGATGATACTGCTGATGATGATACTGCTGGTGATTATACTGCTGGTGATGATGCTGCTGATGATGATGCTGCTGATGATGATGCTACTGTTGATGCTGCTGCTCATGATGATGATACTGCTGTTGATGATGCTGCTGCTGATGATGCTGTTGTTGATGATGCTGCTGATGATGATGCTGCTGATAAAACTACTGTTGATGATGATGCTGCTGCTGATGATGCTGCTGCTGCTGATGATGCTGATGATACTGCTGTTGATGATGCTGATGATGATACTGCTGATGATACTGCTGATGATGCTGTTGATGATGATGCTGCTGTTGATGATGCTGCTGCTGATGATGATGCTGCTGAGTGGGCCATGTGGATGGGGGGAGGGGTTGGATAACAAATAATAAACGCACACTGTCCAGGTATGGGAAACTCTCCGCTCTCTCCACAACTGCTCCATCACCAATGCTTCGTTTTGGTGGGGCTGATGGTTAGACCCCCACCTCTTCGTGGCACACTCCAGGTTCAGCAAGAGAGCTCCCACCCCAACTCCCACCTCGCCCCTCCCCCACCACCCCTCTCCACTCACCCCCACCCCTCGCCCACGTGATCGATTGATTGGCCAGCTGGCCGCCTAATTAATTGGCGAATAAAGGAAGGCGATTGCGCATGAGCAGTGCGCTTCAAGTTAGTTGTTTTTTTTACCTCCTCCTCGCCCTCACCCTCCTCGCCCTCCTCATCCTCCTCATCCTCCTCGCCCTCCTCCTCATCCTCCTCGCCCTCCTCCTCATCCTCCTCGCCCTCCTCATCCTCCTCGCCCTCCTCGCCCTCCTCGCCCTCCTCGTCCTCCTCAGCCTCCTCGCCCTCCTCATCCTCCTCGCCCTCATCCTCCTCGCCCTCATCCTCCTGCTCTCTCAACTGCTGGATGGAAGCTGCAGTCACCACCAACTCCTCCTCCTCCTCCTGCACTCCGCGCCGGTTCAGATCTCCACCCTACTTCACCGGTTTGGGTTCAATCGGACGCCTCTTCACACATCCTCACCGCCGTCACTCACCTGCTCGCTCAGCCATTCACCTGCTCACTCAGCCATTCACCTGCATCGTCACCCACTCGCCTGCTCACTCACCCACTCGCCTGCTCACTCAGCCATTCACACACACCAGCTCTCTCACCCATTGACACTCAATCACCAGTGCACCCTCACCTGCTCATTCACCCAGTAACTCACTCGCTCAACCATAAACACACAGATAACCCATATAGCCTACTAAACACACATCGACACAGTCACACATGCACACTCCCTCACCCATTCACCCTCACTCACCCACTCACTCACCAATTCACTCACTCACTCATCAGTTCACCCACTCACTCATCAGTTCACCCACTCACTCACCAATTCACCCACCCACCCAACCCCACACCCACCCCACCCATTCACGCACTCCCCCCACCCATTCACGCACTCCCCCCACCCATTCACTGACCCACCCATTCACCCCCCCATCCTGCCCACCCATTCATTCACCCACCCACCCATTCACCGACCCATTCACCCACCCACCCATTAATTCATTCACCCACCCACCCACCCATTCATTCACCCACCCACCCACCCATTCATTCACCCACCCACCCATTCATTCACCCACCCACCCATTCATTCACCCACCCACCCATTCACCCACCCACTCACCCACTCGCCCACCCATTCACCTACCCACTCACCCACTCACCCATCCACTAACCCGACCACTCACCCACTCACCCATCCACTAACCCGACCACTCTCTCACCCACTCACTAACTCGCCAAGCCACTCACCCAATCACCCACTCACCAAGCCACTCACCAAGCCACTCACCCACTCACCAAGCCACTCACCCAATCACCCACTCACCCACTCACCAAGCCACTCACCCAATCACCCACTCACCAAGCCACTCACCAAGCCACTCACCAAGCCACTCACCAAGCCACTCACCAAGCCACTCACCAAGCCACTCACCAAGCCACTCACCCACTGACGATGGAACCCCAAACTCTGACCCCCCCCATGAACCCTGACCCCCGACCCCTGCCCCCTCGCCGTGCGTCTCTTGGCGCTGAATGGGGGGGTGGCCTACCCCCCTACAGCGAAAGAGGGGGCCCCCCCGCGGGAGGAGTCGGGGGCCCCCCCGCGGGAGGAGTGGGGGGCCCCCCCGCGGGAGAAGTGGGGGGCCCCCCCGCGGGAGGAGTGGGGGCCCCCCCCGCGGGAGGAGTGGGGGGCCCCCCCGCAGAAAGAGTGGGGGGCCCCCCCGCGGAAAGAGTGGGGGCCCCCCCCGCGGGAGGAGTGGGGGGCCCCCCTGCGGGAGGAATGGGGGCCCCCCCCTTGGGAGGAGTGGGGGCCCCCCCCTTGGGAGGAGTGGGGGGCCCCCCCTTGGGAGGAGTGGGGGGCCTTGCCGCTCCCCACGCGGTGGTGAGAACTCAGCCGAGACAAGCGGAGGAATGGGGGCCAGGAGGAGGGGTCACAGCCCCCCATTGTGCACAAGTGAGTGGGGGGGGGGGGTGAGTGAGCGGTGAGTGGGGGGGCCTGAGTGAGTAAGTGGGGGCGTGTGGTGAGTAGCGGCGTGGGGGCGTGAGTGTGTGGGTGGGTGGGTGAGTGGGTGGGTGGGTGACTGGGTGAGTGACTGGGTGAGTGACTGGGTGAGTGACTAGGTGGGTGAGTGGGTGGGTGACTGGGTGAGTGACTGGGTGAGTGAGTGACTGGGTGAGTGAGTGACTGGGTGAGTGAGTGACTGGGTGAGTGAGTGACTGGGTGTGTGAGTGAGTGTGTGAGCCCAGCAAAAGCAACCCCCTACCTCCTCGGTGGTGCCGGACGGTAACGCTGTAGTGAGCAATGCTATGGGGGGGAAGGACAATTTCAATTGACTTTTCCCCTCATTACGTTCATAGCAACTATAGCAGCCAAATGGGGCTCTGGATGTTTGCTGGCCAAACCCCACTCTTGCAGAGCCAGGAGATTGAACCCTCGGGGTTCTTCCAGAAATGGCAAAAATCCACTGCGATCTCTGTGGCAATGAGGGGGTCCGGTGGACCGGCTCTCGCTCCAGCAACCATGAGGTGTGGACAGTCCCCCACTCAGGGCAGGTAACTGATTAACAACAGTGAGTGGGTCTTTTTCTGAACAAAAGATGAAGGGTGCGTGGAAGCGTGGCGGGGAGGTGTGAGAAGCTGCAAGACCCAAGTGACTGTGGGCTGGCCTCCCTATCAATGGGAGGTGAGGAACGGGGGTGGAGAGTTGCTTATGCCCCCACCCGATGGTGGAGGGATGCAGGCAAGGCCGATGAGTCAGATGCCTTCTATGACCTGTCACAGGTGCTCGCTAAAGTGGCCCCTTTGGGATAGAGTCAGCTTGTTGGGTGACTTCAATGCCCGAGTAGGTCATGACGCTGGTATGTGGGCCGAGGTGATTGGAAGGCATGGGCCAGATCAGCTCAATAATAATGGTAGGAGGCTGCTAGACTTCTGTGCAGCCCATAAACCTGTAATTACCAACAGGCTGTTCTGGCATCGGCGTATCCATACAACAACATGGATGCACAACGTGTCCAAGCAAGAACATCTTCTGGACTATATAGTGACGGAACAGCGGATGTGCGCCCATGTCCTTGATGCCAGGACCTACCGTGGAGCTGATCTACCCACTGACCATCGGCTTGTCTGTAAGATGCACCTGTCATTCTTCCACTCCGGTAGTGGGTGTCTATCTAGGACCCCATTCAAACCCACAGTGGCCTGGTCTCCGCTAGCTGATGAAAGTTGCAAGCGAGAATTGCATCCTCGCATTAAGCTGGGGCGGGCATTGTTCCCATATCGTCCTGATGCGAAGGGGAAATTGGTGATGTTTAGGACTGTGGCCCATGCAGCTGCAATGGTTTGCTTTGGGTACATTGTTCAAATCTTCCCAGAGACCCTGGCTGATAGAGGTCTTCCAGCTGGCTAAGAAAAAGCGACCGGTGCACTCCCCCACCGTCTACAGCATCCCACGTTGGAGAATGAGGAGTCTTACTTCAGCTTGAGGTTTGGAGAGCCAAGCAACGCTGCAAGGATGAGTGGTGGTTGCAGGTTGCTGAGGAGATGGAGTCTGCCTCAGTAGCTTGCTATAAAAAAATCACTCTTTAATTCCATTAAAAAAATACTTCCGGCACTACACCTCTCACCATTCTTATGGGAAAGAAAAGTGATCCGATCTCCGACCCCCAGGAACAAGTTTACAGATTTGCTGATCATTTCTGTGAGGTGTTGGGGGAGGGGAAAACCCTCGGCCAGGGAACATCATGGGGCAAAGTGGGGATGACCCTGCTGAGGCTGCAGTGCCTCATATTGGATGAAGTGGTGAACTGCTGAGGGTGGTGTTTCTATGCAGACTGCCCTATATTACATAATTGTAAGTCTGGACCACAGGATGGTTTCTGCAGGTTTGGAAGGATGCTCTGATGGTCCCCCCTCTTTAAGAATGGGGATTGCACAGGCTGTAACAAGTACTGGGGCATATTCCTCCTCAGTGTGCTGGGTTCTGGCAAGGATTATTCAACATCGCCTTGCAAGGCACGCTGAGGAGAGGCTTGCGGAGCCTCAATGTGGCTTCAGGTCAGGGCGGTCCTGCACAGATGCCATGTTTTCTCTCCGTCTGCTACAGCAGAGGTGTAAGCAATTTCAACAGGACCTACATCTCTGCTTTATTGACCTGTAAATGCCTAATTATAGGATCAATAGGCATGGGCTTTGGGTTGTTCTTGGTACTTTATAAGACCCTGACTCTGCTCACAATCATTAAGGACCTTGATGATAGTGGGTGGGCCCGAATAAAGCTACGTGGCTAGGAGTCGGAGCCATTCCCTGTTCACATTGAGGTGTGACAGGGATGTCATCTGGCATCTACATTAATTAACATGTTTTATGACCACGTACTTCGAGAAGTGTTCTATGGCTGTACCGGAATAATTTCCATCTGGTACAGATACAATAGGAGGCTGAGTGATGCTCGGGTGCGGTGGAGGGATGGTTCTCTTCGTCAACCATATTACATATGCTGATGATCTGGTGATTGCTGCTCACTATGAGGAATTGGAGGCTCCTCAGAGGTGGGACCTTACGATCAGCCCCTCCAACACCAATCGCCTGCCTGGGTATTGTGTCATCAAACACGCCACCCCCTCTACCCCCCATTGGTGGGATAGTTGTGGAGAGGTTTCCATACTTGGGCAATTTGCTTATGACCAGTTCCGGTTTGACAGCAGAGATCTTTTTTTCCCGAATGACTCGAGCGGCATTATCTTTTCATTGGTGGCAGAACCATGTGTGGAAGCTACCTGGTCCGTTGCTCCACATGCAGCCTCGGGTCTTCTCAGCCACGGCCATGCCCTCCCCTTCTCTATGCCTGCGAAACATGGACTCTCCTAATGGAACTTCATTGTCGGTTAAACACATTCAAGTTGGCCTGCCTACAATCCATCCCGGGTTTAACCAGGCTAGATTGTGTGAGTCTCTCACAAATCCTCAAGATCTGGACACAGTCCCGTTTTGTGAGCTCCTCCAGCAGCCAGGGCTGCATTGGCTGGGTCATATAGCCTGTATGTCCAGCCACCGCATGCCCCCAAACAGCGTTTGTTCAGCCTGATTGAGGGAGCTAAATGGGTGCGGCATGGGCTATAGATGAGATGTAATGTGCAGGGAGAGGATATGGAGCTGAGTGGACTTTCCAATAACTGGGACCAGCGGTGTTGAGATCGGCCTTTGTGGAGGAGGCTCGTGAAGGACGCTCCTGGGTAGTTGGAGGCAGATGCCCTCCAGCAACAACAGAGGGCGGAGGAGCAACGCTCACAACAACAAGCAGAGTACCGGGCGGCTAAAACATAGCAAGTTGTCATAGTAGGAGGCACAGATGGTGCATCGGTCAGTGAACCCATGGCACCTGGGTCTGTCCTGTGACGTCACTGCCGCTTAGTCGCAAATGGCGGCTGTTGTTGAGGGCGTAAGGGGGTGTGTGGCTTATGGTGGTGTTAATGGATGAGTCCCGGTGTAAGTGGTTGAGTGATGCATGGGTGAAGGGTGTGTGTGAGTGGTTGGGTATTGACGGCATCTCCTCTATCTCCATCTCCCTGTGGGCAGGGCCCCACTGCCGTCACGTTGATGTCCATGCCAGTCTGGTCAAGTGGTCTCTTCTCCTGCTACCAGGATCTCTACTCCTGTGAGCCTCCACGCACTCCCTCCAGCAGTGAATCGACCACAGCTTTCACTGTGCGTGTGGTTCCTGTGCTTCAGGATAGGGGCTCTCTCCATCGAGCAGCGGTGGCGAGGTGTTATCTCCCTCGCCTGTTATGCAGGAGGTCGTGGGTTTGATCCAGACACTGATACCTGTACATGTATTAAAAAAAAACATACATTTATATTAATTGGCTGCTGCTATAAATTCCCACATGATTAGCCACTATGTTGAGCTATCGTTTGTGGCCAGGTCGCTTCATAAGAAAAACTGTTTTTTGTTTTAGTTTTGTCTCTGAGTCTCTGTGTAGTGGTTCTGGCTTTCTGTGTGAGTGTGTGTCTCCGCGTGGCGAGTCTATGGGTCTCTGCGTGGTGAGTTTAGAGTATTTGGTTGATAGAAATTTTCCACGTGCTAAGCCCACTGTTGAGTGACCATATGGGGCCCAGGTTGTTTCGAAAAGGAGATAATATCTCGGTGCGTTTTGCCTGGTGATGTGAAATAGTTTAGTTTTAAATATGTAGGACTGTTCTCCTTCTTTGGTTCTTTCGGTAAAGTCACGTAGAATGAGAATAAAATAATAAATTGATAATAATTGATTTACCGAAAGAACCAAAGAAGATGAATCCTTGCAGTCACGAAAGCTTTAAATCGATATTTATGACTGACCACGGCTCTTGATAGGTGTGTGTGTGTGTGTCCTATGCTTGAGGAGGCACTACATCCAGCTCTCGTGGTGTGCGCCTTGTCGTCCCTGCGCGCAGGCCTGCTGGGCTGCCTCTGCCCCTGCGCGCTGATCGGCGGGCTGGCGAGTGACATGGGGGAGAGCTCCATGCTGGGGTGTCCGTGCTGGATGCAGGCCGCGGCCAACGCGATGCGGGCGTCCATCCGCGAGAGATACCGCATCAGCGTAGGCGACGTGGCGCGAGCACACACGGCCAGAGTCGGGTCGACAGCCCACGGGACAGGGGTCGGCTACCAAAACAACTAGAATTCGTCATCATTTTAAGAGCCGCAATACGACGTGGTGAATATGTCTTAACCGGTAGTCCTTCATGAGTAAAGTCGCGATATAGTGCTTTTACTGAGCCACAGGTTGCCAACCTCTGCCCATGGTGCACTGCGACTTCCACGATGAACTGAATTTGTTGCATAGTCAGGCGCCGGCAAGCAAAAGAATAAGACAAATCTTTTAAAAAATGTTTTCGAATTTCAAGAGCCACACTGCAGTCTTTAAAGAGCCACCGTATGCCTAGGGGCACCCCCAGTGGCAGCTGTCCCTGTGCATGAGTCTGTGTGGTTCTATAGCCTAGGGGCACCCCCAGTGGCAGCTGTCCCTGTGCATGAGTCTGTGTGGGTCTATAGCCTAGGGGCACCCCCAGTGGCAGCTGTCCCTGTGCATGAGTCTGTGTGGGTCTATAACCTAGGGGCACCCCCAGTGGCAGCTGTCCCTGTGCATGAGCCTGCTGCCCGTAGCGGTGATGATTGTCAGAATATCTATTTATACCATGAAAGGAATCCGATGTTGATTTGAAGCTTTCGTGACTGCAGGAATCCATACTCTTTGGTTCTTTCGGTAAAGTCACGTAGGTAGAAAAATAATACATCACGACGTTTCGGGCACAACACTTATGTGTTGTGCCCAAAACGTCGTGATGTATTTGACGCAGAGAGAGACATACACACAGACACACAGAGAGAAACACACAGAGGCACACACACACACAGAGACACACAGAGAGAAACGCACACACAGAGACACACAGAGAGAAACACACACACAGAGACACACACGGTTAGAGAGACACACACGGTTAGAGAGACACACACGGTTAGAGACACACACAGTTAGAGAGACACACACGGTTAGAGAGACACACACGGTTAGAGAGACACACACGGTTAGAGAGACACACGGTTAGAGAGACACACACGGTTAGAGAGACACACACGGTTAGAGAGACACACACGGTTAGAGAGACACACACAGTTAGAGAGAGACACACACGGTTAGAGAGACACACGGTTAGAGAGAGACACACGGTTAGAGAGACACACACGGTTAGAGAGACACACACGGTTAGAGAGACACACACGGTTAGAGAGACACACACGGTTGGAGAGACACACACGGTTGGAGAGACACACACGGTTAGAGAGACACACACGGTTAGAGAGACACACACGGTTAGAGACACACACAGTTAGTGAGACACACACACGGTTAGAGAGACACACACGGTTGGAGAGACACACACGGTTAGAGAGACACACACGGTTAGAGAGACACACACGGTTAGAGAGACACACACGGTTAGAGAGACACACACACAGTTAGAGAGACACACACACAGTTAGAGAGACACACACACAGTTAGAGAGACACACACAGTTAGAGAGACACACACACAGTTAGAGAGACACACACACAGTTAGAGAGACACACAGAGAGACACACAGTTAGAGAGACACAATTAGAGTATCTCTCTGTGTGTGTGTGTGTCTCTCTGTGTGTATGTCTCTCTCTGTGTGTGTGTGTATGTCTCTCTCTGTGTGTGTATGTCTCTGTGTGTGTGTGTGTGTCTCTCTGTGTGTGTGTATGTCTCTCTGTGTGTGTGTGTATGTCTCTCTGTGTGTGTGTGTATGTCTCTCTGTGTGTGTGTGTATGTCTCTCTGTGTGTGTGTGTATGTCTCTCTGTGTGTGTGTGTATGTCTCTCTCTCTGTGTGTGTGTATGTCTCTCTCTCTGTGTGTGTGTATGTCTCTCTCTCTCTCTGTGTGTCTCTCTCTCTCTGTGTGTGTGTGTCTCTCTCTGTGTGTGTGTGTCTCTCTCTGTGTGTGTGTGTCTCTCTGTGTGTGTGTCTCTCTCTGTGTGTGTGTCTCTCTCTGTGTGTGTCTCTCTCTGTGTGTGTGTATCTCTCTCTCTGTGTGTGTGTATCTCTCTCTCTATGTGTGTGTGTGTCTCTCTCTCTCTATGTGTGTGTGTGTCTCTCTCTCTATGTGTGTGTGTGTCTCTCTGTGTGTGTGTCTCTCTCTGTGTGTGTGTCTCTCTCTGTGTGTGTGTCTCTCTGTGTGTGTCTCTCTCTGTGTGTGTGTATCTCTCTCTCTATGTGTGTGTGTGTCTCTCTCTCTCTATGTGTGTGTGTGTCTCTCTCTGTGTGTATGTGTCTCTCTCTGTGTGTATGTGTCTCTCTCTGGGTGTGTGTGTGTCTCTCCCTGGGTGTGTGTGTGTGTCTCTCTCTGGGTGTGTGTGTGTGTCTCTCTCTGGGTGTGTGTGTGTCTCTCTCTGGGTGTGTGTGTTGTCTCTCTTTCTATGTGTCTCTCTCTCTCTCTCTCTGGGTGTCTCTCTGGGTGTGTGTCACTGTATGTGTGTCCCTCTCTGTTTCTCAGTTGTATGTCTCTCTGTGTGTGTCTGTCTGTGTGTGTCTCTCTGTGTGTGTCTCTCTGTTTCTCATGTGTGTGTCTCTCTGTGTGTGTGTCTCTGTGTGTGTCTCTCTGTGTGTGTGTCTCGCGCTCTCTGTGTATGTCTCTCTCTCTGTGTGTCTCTCTGTGTGGGTGTCTCTCTCTCTCTGTGTGGGGGTGTTCTCTCTGTGTCTGTCTCTCTCTCTGTGTCTCTCTCTGTGTCTCTCTCTGTGTCTCTCTCTGTGTCTCTCTCTGTGTCTCTCTCTGTGTCTCTCTGTGTGTCTCTCTCTGTGTCTCTCTCTCTGTCTCTTTCTCTCTGTGTCTCTCTGTGTGTTTCTCTATTGGAAGAAGAAGTCACCGCCTGTGAGTGGCTGGCTGAGGTGCCATCTGTTGAGGAAGCGCTAAAGGCGATCCATCCAGAGTCTGAGACGAGGAAAGGCACCGGACAGAGACGATCTCCCAAGCGAAATGCTGAGGGAGGGTGGCGTTTGTGCACATGCTGCCCTATATGACATCATAACAACAGTCTGGATCACTGGACGGGTTCCGCAGGATTGGAAGGATGCCCTGGTGGTCCCCCTCTTTAAGAAGGGGGACCACACAGACTGTAACAACTACAGGGGCATCTCACTCCTCAGTGTGAGGTGGGGAAAGGTCCTGGCAAGGATTATTCAGCATCGCCTTGCCAGGCACGCTGAGGAGAGGCTTGCGGAGCCCCAATGCGGTTTCTGGAAGGGGCGGTCCTGCACAGATGCCATATTTTCTGTCCGTCTGCTACAGCAGAGGTTTAGGGAATTCCAACAAGACCTACATCTCTGCTTTATTGACCTGGTCAAGGCCTATGCTGCCATCAGTAGGCCTGGGCTCTGGGTTGTTCTTAGTGCTTTCGGAGTCCCTGACCATCTGCTCACGATGGTGAGCGGGCCCGGGTAAAACTACGTGGCCGGGAGTCGGAGCCGTTCCCTGTTCACCTTGGGGAGCGATATGGATGTCCTCTGGCTCCCACATTATTTAACATCTATTTTCGACCACTTAGTTCATGAAGCCTTCAATAGCTGTACCAGAGGAATTTCCATCTGGTACAGATACAATGGGAGGAGCCATCCCTTGACCCGGGTGCGGTCAAGGGATGCCTCCCTATTGGTCAACCACGTTATGTATGCCGATGATTTGGTAATTGCTGCTCACTCAGAGGAGGAGTTGGAGTTGCTGCTGCTGAGACTGGAGTGTGTCACTAAGAGGTGGGGCCTTGCCATCAGCACCACCAAAACTAAGCACCTGCCTGGGTATTTTGTACCATCGGACACTCCACCCCCACAACTCCGAATCGGTGATGGGGCAGTTGTGTAGAGAGTGGAGAGTTTCCCATACCTGGGCAGTGTGCTCATGACCGGCTCCAGTTTAACAGCAGAGGTCTCGCTCAGAATCAGTCGAGCGGCAATATCTTTTCATCGCAAGCGTAACGCTGTGTGGAAGCTACCTGGTCTGTCGCTCAGCACGAAGCTTCAAGTCTTCTCGGCCATGGTCATTCCCTCCATTCTCTATGCTTGCGAAACGTGGACCCCCCCTAATAGAGCATCTTCGCCGATTGGAAACATTTAGGCTGGCCTGCCTACGAGCTAACAAATGCTTGAAAGATCTGCGCAAAGTCGTATCGGTGAGCTCCTCCGGCAAGGAAAGGCTGCATTGGCTGAGTTATGTAGCCCGCATGCCCAGTCACCGCATGCCTAAACAGCTTTTGTTCGGCTGGATAGAGGAGGCTAAATGGGCGCGACAGGGGCTAGAGAAGAGATGGAGTGATGTGGTACAGGAGGACGTGGAGCTGAGTGGACTTGCCGATGACTGGTACCAGCGGTGTCTAGATCGGCCTCTGTGGAGGAGGCTCGTGAAGGATGCTACTGGGCAGTTGGAGGCAGTCGCCCTCCAACAACAACGGAGGGTGGAGGAGTGACGCTCACAACAACGAGCACAGTAGGGGGCACAGGTGGTGCATCAGCCAGTCATCTCAGTCGACCCGTGACACCTGGGTCTGCCCCGTGACCTCCTGCCAGCGGGCGTTCGACTCTTCACCTGGCCTCAAGGTGCACATGGCCTGGCACAAGCATCGTGGTGACGTCATCGCTGCTTAGTGGCAAATGGCGGTTGTTATTGTCTCTCTATGTGTGTGTCTCTCTGTGTCTCGCTATGTGTGTCTCTCTCTGTGTTTCTCAGTTCTATGTCTCTCTGTGTAGGTCTCTCTCTGTCTCTCTCTGTGTGTATGCGTCTCTCTCTCTCTCTGTCTGTGTCTCTGTGTTTCTCTCTCTACGTGTATGTCTCTGTGTGTGGGTTGTCTCTCTGTGTCTCTCTCTGTGTTTCTCATTTCTATGTCTCTCTGTGTGTCTCTCTGTCTCTCTCTCTGTGAGTATGCGTCTCTCTCCGAGCTTACAATCACATACAATTCCATCTCTAGCCTCGCCCACTTACCCTTGGGTTACACCCAGCTAAAATCTATATGACTCTCGCTAGATTT